AAATGTCAACGTGGTGATATGCCGAATGTATATCAAATTTAACCAAATAGTCATTCTGACGTATATAGACTAAAGCCGCTTTCCAGTCCTCATATTTCACACTAGACTTTGAAACATAGTTATTCACTTTCGACAGATCAAGAATCAACCGTTTTTTGCCTGAGGACTGCACTGATACAGAGAGCGGGTTGACGACAACAGGGGGCGTATCACATTCACAAATCAATTGTTTCTTCTTCAGCTCATCAATAGCTTTTGTCACAAAACTTGCATGTTGTATTGTCGACTGGTTGTTTCTGGAAAACATATCATGTCTGGTTAAAAAAGGAATTTTATACCCATTTTCAATGATATCGATTACAAATTGTGATGCACCCATGGATTTTCAAAATGGTAAACAGCGTTAAGCCGACCCTTGACCAAAATCTCCGACATTCCCTGTTCATATTCAGAATAGTTTTCAGTAAGGCTTTCAGTATAAATATTCTCGACAGCATTTAACCATTCGTGAAAAGTATACAACTAACTGAAAATCCGTCCTCATATGACGTCACTGCAGTGCTCTGGCGACAGAGTTACGTAACCTGTCTGTGGTTTCGTTGGCGGGCGAGAGCGAAGCAGGCGACTTTTTAGCAACTTTTAATCGCTCGGTATTAATTAACCACAAGTTTTTAATGAATGAATTTGGTGTTCCGCATAAGACTAACCACAAATCTTTCGTATGTAATGGTTAAAAGAGTACAAAAAACCCAAAGTTTATTTGTTCTTTAACTGACAAATCCTGCCTCTGCTCACTGGCCCGACTGGCCTGCACTACCTCCGACTGACGTTCCCTGACTTCCGCCACTGACCCTCCTTCGACCAAAACGTAGTCCTTGTCCGCCTTAAGCTTCTTAACGTCAGTTGTGGTTTGACTGAACTCTTCTCTGAGGGCCGACATCTTGGTATCCAAAGCATCATGAAGCTCTCGTCTCCAAGTTCTTCAAAATGGCGTCGATCTTAGCCTCCATTGTAAGGTTTGAAATGAAATCAACTGACCGTAGCTGATGAAGGTACATGCATCTTACAGTAAGATGGTTGTTTTTCCATTCTTACGTGGTTCCGGACCATGAGAGCAGGATCGGGTGGGACTTGGTTGATGCATGCCATCGTATGCCAGTTTCAGTCACGAATTCAGTCACTGGGTTGTGTGGTCCAGATTACACTATTTACAGACCAGTCATACAGCTGGAAAATTGCTGAGTGCGGCGTTAACCAACCAACATCGGTTTTGATGAAACTATATATATTGTGTCTTTCAGTGGCATTTAGAAGTTGTACATTGATGTCCAAGATATTTTTATGGATTAAACTTCTTTTTTAATTTCTCTCACGACGTTTCGAGACCATTTCAGGTGCCTGCATCAGGTGAACTGGACAAGTCACCTGATGAAGGCACCTGAATGGGCGTCTAAAAAAAGTTTTAATCCATATCTTGGACAATATATATATTTCCAGAAAGTACTGATATAATAACTTCCATTTTATGACTCGGAGTTGACAGAAATTAACTGTCAAAAAGTGTCTTATCCTTCCAATGTCATTTATGTTTATATACCGATGCTTATCTTTCAGTAGAATATCTTGTTATTGGCATCAAAACCTCGACTTTGACATCAATATCAGACCAATCACCACACAAAAGTGTGAAATGTGGTTAAGGCATAAAAGCGCTCACCAGTACAACAGAACTGAATTTTCAACTGGATTACACCATTTCCTCAAACGTTCGCACATCCTGCCGGGGACTTTCAGTGTGTAGAGCCAACTCGTGGGGATGCTAAAGTACTGTCGGAAATGCTAGAAAAATGCTTTTTGACTTATATTTAAAATTCAGAGGTATTACAGTTACTTAAATAACAAATATCACTTTAAGAAACATCTACCTAATGTAGACCGAGGGAATAAATTTTGAGACATGCCCTAAACTATGAAAATACCATAAGAAGTAGGTGGACGTTATTTGATACAAACATTAACTGCCTGTGTTACGTCATCAGCATGCACGGTATCGACAGGTGAAATTGACACATGAGCACACACGCTCGGGGGAGGGGTCATCTCAATAGATGTTTTCGTCAAAATGTTGAATATGTGTACGTATAGTATGCGTATTGGTTATGTAAGGGATCATTTGTGTATGTGTGTTTGTTTTGAAATAAACATACGAATTACTGTACATTGGAAAGAATCCTATCACTTGTGTTATCTTATCGATTGATTGTAGAAATGTGCAACGTTTTAATAAATGTTTTGCATGTCAACAGTATATTTCATTGCAAAAATATGGATGTAATTCGGTCAGTTTAATCTAGTTGTGAACATTGGCCAAAGATTTAACGAAGTCACTGGTGTAGCTTCTTTAGAATATATATATTCTTCTTCTCATAAAGTTTGTAGACCGCCCGTCTAAGTACTCCTTTGTCAAAGTTGTCAAGGATGGTTTTACGTCCCGGTTTTGCTTTTGAGACGGTCCCTGTCTTATCTGATTTGTTTACAATATTTTAAACTTGTTGGTAAGACATACCAACAGCTCTACAAGTTCTGTAATAAACCCTTTCTTAACTAATGAAAGGTTTCAAACCTTTGCAACAATTGACTGCAAATAGTTGGCCTTAGTGGACGCTGTGATAAAGATGTGCATGCATGACGGGAAACTTATTTTATCAAGACTTAACATTTATATTAATATTTCTTCAATAAAGAAGGTAATTAAGTAAAGTAACACAAACATTCAACATTTATTTGTTAAAAAAACCGTTGATTCATATTTTACACCACCTGAATTATTAGGTTAAATGTAAAGACTATTTCAGATTTCTGTTGTTGAACTCTGAAAAAATCCTAAGTTGTTGTTTTGGTACCATATTCTCTCCTGTAAAGTGCCCTTTAAATGCATGGGAATGTTAAATCGATTGAAATAAAAATTAGGTACACTATAGGCGAGTTGATATATTGACAACATAGTACATTTATCACCTTTATCAAAGTATTAAGGCTAAAAAGCATTTTTCTAGCAGTTCCGACAGTACTTTAAGTTGCTAACCCTACCGTCGGTATAACAGTTTTAACAGCATGCTATCAGCATGCAATCAGCATGCAATAAAACGCGTCGCCGACCCTGCTTTGTCCACATTGTCGTCATTTCAACCGGCATAGCTCGCTAGGGACATATTTTACGCAGAATTAGAGCAACAACACTAGCATGTTTGGTACGGATTGGTTGTTGGTTGGTTTGTCGTTTAACGCCGCACTCAGCAATATTCCAGCTATATGGCGGCGGTCTGTAAATAATCGAGTCTGGACCAGACAATCCAGTGATCAACAGTATCGACCTACGCAATTGGGATAGATGACTTGTAAACCAAATCAGCGAGCCTCAACACCCGATCCCGTTAGTCGCCTCTTATAAACATTTGTTGCTGAAGACCAGTTCTAACCCAGATCATCACGGGTTGGTACCTATTGGTGTCATGCCTGCGATTTTACTGTGCACTGTATATTTATACCCTGGAACATGGTCCGGCAGTATAGCACTGGTAAGTTCTCGGTCTGTTGTTAACATCAATATTAGCATAACTCTACTATAGTCCGTTTGGCTCAAAAGCGGACCGATGAATTGCAATCTAACTCGAAAACTAATAAACATAAAATACTCAATGAAACGCTGATCATAATCAAAACATCATACCAACTCTGTGAGGTTTTTGCAGAATTTTTGTCCTAAAAATAAAAACGTTGTTTAACAATCTATCATTAAAATATTGACACAGTTAACTAATTGTTACGAGGGAGGAGTCCTCATGCAGAGTTGCATCCCTTGGGCAAGCCAGGAGCCCCCCTTTCACAAAGCTCTCGCAAGCCAAAGATCTCGTAACTTTTCTCTGATTATTCCTACCTAATATACTGTAACACTGACTTATGATAGTCGTAGCGCTACGAGAACTTTGTGAAACGGGGCCCTGACACCAAAGAACGTTGGTTCCAAAACCAGGTTTGCCCTGTTGTTTCTTGGTTTGTCAGAACCACTCTCTTACTCCTGGGATTTACCAATGGTGCAAACATCCAGGTCCTGCATTACTTCAGGCTTTCCTTCCACATAATGGACAGGTCTTAACTAGCATGCCTTAAGCTGTTCTAAACCCAACTCCCTCAAAAGTTCAGTGTGTTGTCACTTTAGCACATTGTGAAATACATTTCTTAAAATTTGAAAGTATGCATGGTGTCACACATCTAGGTGAGGTGAGGTGAAACTGGGTTTTATGTTGTGCTTGAGAATATTTCGCTCATATGACGACGTGCATGCGTGTGTATGTGTATGTGTGGCTGCTTGTACTAGCCCAGAGTTAAGCTGGTTTTATAGTGCTAGCCCACTGAGATACCATGCCGCAGTGAAGCATGAATATCTAAGCCCACTCAGACACATATATACTGACTGGATCCCCGACCAGTCCTTGTTTGTACCCATTAATGCCGAGTGCCATGACAGGGACCATGAAAGTACCATATTTTAACATCTTTTGGTATGACGAGGGGGACTGAACCAGCGACTTGAGCTTTGGTTTTCAGGGCGGGCGCTCTTACCACTACACCACCGAGGCGGTCATCATCACATTTAGGACATAAAAAATGCAGTTAAGATTTACTAACAGGTGGTTGGATCAAATCAATGCCATGATTTGCAAAATGGTTGATTGGTGCCATGAAAACCATTTTTATGGTTACACATGTATCAAGTGCATACGGTTAGCTTAAAGTGGCTGTTTGGCTAAAGATGTGTTAACATGTCATTATTTATCCAGTTTTAAATGGATACAATTTCAAATTATATATCTACATTTTCTTTAGACAGTACTTGCAAGCACTAGTCTAGGAATCTGGTATATAATAGCCATTTGCAAGAAAACCAATATTAGTACCATGTCAGGAATGTCAGGTCCTTCAAAGACATCAACAGCTAGTTTAGCTATTTACATTTTTTTTTATTTCAGCCTGCAATTATTACAGTTTAGCGTTTGCCACCGACCATAGGTTTAGATTTGGGCATGTTCTTAGAAGCCTTGGTTTGTTTTCCTCCCTTGGGTGCAGCAGGCTGAAAGTAAAGAATGGAATTGGATAAAATGTTATTACAATTAGAACATAAATCAGCCCCTCCATGTAAGAAAGATTGAAATTAGCACCAGACTACTTTCACTAATAAGGTATCCTTAAGGCTAGTACAATTTCAAACATTTTGAATGGTACTGATATATGTTACAGATTTTCAGGCTATGGAATGCTAATGGCATAATAATTGTTCATAGAAAACCTGTTTAGGCATTTCTTCAGAGGACTTTCATGTGATGTAATTTTGGATAGAGCTTTAATTAAAGACTTTCTGCAAGTACAATAAGCATTTCAATTTCTGATAATTATAATATACTTTGGTAGTGTATTTTCCCCCCGATACTTTTTGCATTATTTGGTGAAGAAACAAAACAGGTTTAACCCAGAAGTGAAAACAGGCATTATTCTTAAAGCTAACAGAACAAAATTACAGATCTGAGGTAAACCTGACAATATACCAAAACCATGATGACTAATTACCAAACATTCCAAATGATTTAAAGCTACCAAACATTCCAAAATGATTTAATAGCTGCATTTTTTTTACTCAATACCGTAAATTCATGAGTCAATACTCTATTGATAGGTAATTACAAAGGTGCATAAAATATTTTATTTTTAATTTGCATACAGGAGAGACGTTTGTCAGTCACAGTAAATATAGTACACAAAACAGAGCATCTGCTTACTCTATCTCAGAAACAAACATTTCCAAACAGGAGAATAAACCATGCTGCAATCTAATATTGTACACCCCATTGTCATACTAATATGTATTTACTAGGTTTTATTTCTTCTACACCATACAAAGGGAAATATGCCTACACTCTTTACTATTAACAGAAAATTATCCTCATTTTCATCAAACTGAAGATCACTCTGGGTTCACCTCACATGACACAAAACTGCCCCTGATCACAATACATTACCTAATATCAAAAGTATTTTGAAAATTGTGTGTGCATACCACTTTGAAAAGGCATATTCATATCTTTTTGACAAATGAGCATTATGTGCATAGCAGCTGAATACAGGACATGTTTTTTCCTAATGAATTATGTTCATCTTGAGACAATTTACCTTGGAAGCCTTCTTCTGACTGTCCTTTGTCTTCTGCTTCTCCTTGTATGCCCTGGGAAGAATAAGGCCATGAGATTCACAGAATGGAACATATTACTAAACAACTGGGTTATCTTAGTACCGATAGCTGGAACAAACTGGGCCAACTTCATTTACAAAATGAGATGTTAAACCATACACGACTGTTAGCTTTGCGAATAACAAAGGATACCTATAGCTCATTCAAAAATATTCAAGACACTATGTTTTATGATAATCTTATTTTCTTTTAAGTGTCAATCTTGTCATTCTAAAAATATTGAAAATGGTTGTCAAGATGCATATGGGAAAACCATTTTTAAAACATCTATGACAATTTGCAAAGGTGTCACTGACCAATAGTGTTGCTATCATATTTTCTTGGGTAAAAGCTGCCAAAGGTCCTTATCACAAAAAGCATAATCTATCATGTAATAGTCAAACTAATACATTATGACGTGTGTTATGGAGACACCCTGCTACATAGTTGTGCTTTTCTTAAATATATAAAACAAAAAGTGCACTGTACGCTTGAAAATGTTATAATGTCAAATTATCTGTTCAACATTACCTGATGGCCTGCTCTCTCTGTGCCTTCCTGACCTCAGGCTTCTGGTTCCTCTTGGCCATGATGTCATTGAGGGTGGCACCAGTGATGGCTCGCTGGAACTTGGCGGTCTTTCGGGTCCTCTTCTTGGAAACCTCTTCTGTCTGACCCTTCTTGTGCTTTCTCCTGTACAGCACTGTCCAGTTGATCTCACGAGGGTTGCGCTTCATGTTGTGGGAACGTTCACATTTCTTGTTAAGAAACTGGAACACCTGGCAGAACAAATTTGATCCTTTCTGATTATTATTATTTTCCAAAATGTTTAAATTTCAACTGAGTGGGTAAGATATTTTACTGCTTTCTGCAACACATCACAGATCACAAAATACATGATGTACAAGCTTTACACTGAAAGGTAATCTAAACTAATTGAAACTTATTTTGTTATATATTAAATTTTAAAAATTGCATTCAATATAGTTATGTATACCTAAGCATTAACATCTCTTTTCTGTTGGTCTTGTTATCAGTAAAATACGAACATGTCAGTTACAAACCAACTAACGACACAAGAGTTATCAAATGTGTAAATTGCCTTCAGATCTAAACCATTCACAGGGTTTTACGCAAAGCGCAAATGTGAGTCCAGTAGGCACAAATGAATAAAAGGGGTACAGAAAAATAATTCACTGCATCCAGAGGGACGCACAGTATTATTCATTGTACCAAAACCACATCTATCACTTTGTAAGGATTTGGTTGTTTCTTTCCGAGCATTTACGTGCATCATTTCATCAATCAGTCAATGTGATCAATGATTCATTCTGGGGTCGAAGGAATTATCAAAACATACAGTTCTTTACATCGTTACTTTACGGGACCCTCATTGCCTTCAAGGGCCATTTAAACTATAATAACATGTTTGTGAGTCGGGGTAAAACCCTGCATTCACCTTTGATAACATCCAATTCCACCTTTCCTTTTAACATTATAGAGTTATGGCGGAAAGAGTTCCTTCCGTTCCCCCATATTATGTTTGTAAGATTACCGTGCCTGGGGTCCTTATCATACAACGTGGTTCAACACTGTATATTGTAATTAATTTTTGGGATTTCAGTTATTATTGTGTATTCTGTAGTAATTGTTGTATTAGGTTTTGTAAATAATTTTAGTATATACATTAATTAATACATATTGTTTGGTATGGGGGAACGGGAGGAACTCTTACACACGTAATGATAAATGTCTGGATACAATAAGGGAATCTAAAAACGTCTACACTACGACATTGTATTCACTCAAGCAATTGTACAGTTCGAATATCTACCCAGTGACGTGTTGTGAAGTACAGATATTTAATTCATTCCTTCAAGAAAACACTGACAGTTCACGTTCCCGACTAGGTATCATGTTGGGTGTCACTCTTCTTGTGATGTTACTTCTCAAACTGCCAGTCAAAATAAATTTAGTCTGCAGATTGTTCCTATAAACATAACATGCTTACTTTCTTCTACGTGTTTAATAACAGTCGCCGTTCAGGAGAAATAGCTAGCTTATGTTAACCAAATCATTCGGAATGTTTTCCAAATATATCCAGCGGCCCCTATCCAGCTAAAAGCACCTCGATAAACACATGTAGAGGTAATATCAAATGTAAATACCCTGCCATCAGCCTTGACCATTTTCTTCCCATGGCCTGGGTATATTTTGTATCCACTGTACGAACAGAGTTCGATCCTGGAAGAAAAATAAAGCACATATGAGATTCAAAGGGATATATACTGGTGGTAAGTTACGTTTTTATTATGATTTATCGATAGATATATGAGGGATTGCTTGGATAAAGAAGGCATGTAGCCAGATAGGCTTACTTCATGATTGCAACCGGAAAAGGAAAGGCTCATTTGCGTTTCGGAGTAAATATTGGTAGTTATTTTTCACATTTCTGAAAGATATATACCATCCACATACACACGTGTCACATGCTATATAGACCAATATATATATGATAACATAGGCAAATATTACGTTCTAAAATATTTAAAATAAATGTTTGATCCTATCTATTCACTGCGTTCCTGCTCAGCGGGAACATTTCAAAATGGCGGACGAAGGTAACTTCGCTGAATGTAAACAATAAAACCCATGTATTAATGATTGCAGTTGGATACTTACCAAATGACATTTCTTTGGATGAAGGAATAACGCATATGTCAATACATCCGATATTTATGAATGCCATCAAAAACAGAGCTAGAGTTAAATACTGCTTTAGTCGTGTGTTGCCAATGTAAATATGTGCCCGTCACTGGCATGAGATGTCCCTTACGGCGGCACGCGATGACTTCTAGCACCTGATGTACGTCCGTATCTAAATGATTACTGGAGTGGTATAATGTTACATGGAACTTACAACATGTCACACAAATACTTTATTGTTTAACTTCTCAAATTCGTCTCCACACATGTAGGCTTGAGACGCCTTTCACCGATGTAAGCTACACCGAGTCCGGTTAGAAGCGATGTGCCTCGGTCTCTGCTCTCTGCTGCATCTGAATGGGATCAATAGATCAGCTTAAGTGACTTGTTACATGCTATTATTAGTTATCATTATGTTTTATTTAACACCATACTCGGCAATATTACAGCTGCACGAGAGCGGTCTGTATGATGGGAACCTCTAATATCTGGGTAGTTACTTTTATCGGATTATGAACGGCCACTGACATTTCATATTTTATGTACATTTTCAATTGACAGATTTATAATCTTCATTTCTGTCCTATGTAATGTGACCTATAGTCACTAATTGTTTAATAGGAGAATGGAAATTGAAGTGACTCTATTATTGTGATATTGCTCTTTAAGGTATATCGTCATATGAGTGAAATATTCTCAAGCACGACGTTAAACCCAATTTCACCTCACCTTTAAGGTATATGCTGTAACACACTTCCAGATATGTGTCATGTGTATGATATTGCATTCCCAACAAGAATGGTTTATTTTTTTTAACTCAGCAATATTCCTGATGTATGACAGCAATCTGTAATAAATCTAGACCTCTTGATCCTGTTAGTTGTCTCTTATCACAAGCTTTGTTGCTGAAGACCAATTCTTACCCGGATGTTCACAAGTCTGCCCAACAAGTGGTTTGACGCTGACAGATGGAGGACAGTTTCAAAATTTGATACTTCAGTGACCAAAATGATGTTTGTTCATCATTTCATGAACACCTTGTATCATCATTATTTGGTATTGCAAATTGTTATTATTATTGTATATTATATGTTAATAATATACAAAAAGTAATATACAAAATTTGTATATCGCCCTGTATGATTTAGAAACTAAAACACTCTGAGGCTTTACAGAAAGAGTCACAGATGCTACTGAATGTAGGCTGATTTAAAGAGATGAGTTTCATGCCCTTCTTATAAATGTCATGAGATGATGAGTTTCTCAGGGTAGATGGTAGATCATACCACAGTATTACTGCAGTCTTGTTGAAGAATCTGTGTTGAGCTCTTTTGAGTATAAGACAGTTTGTGTTTTGGCCCATCGTCTTTATTACAAATATATGTTACAGAAATCCTCTAATTTTGTTGAATTAGTAACAACTGTTTGACTTATATACTGTCAAACTTGGAGTAACCACAATCTTGTTCCATCTTATCATGTTAATATATTTCAGATGATGAAGGTGGTGTTCTGGACTTCACTGATTATGGATTAAAGAAATTTGACATACCGGAGGGTTTACATCCCAGTGGACTAATTCTTGATCAAAACAGCATCTCAAAAATAGAAAATATAGACCACTTGCAGGACTTACAACAGGTAATAAGAAATGGGCTTCAAAGTATGTCAATCACTATTTCCCTTTTGATCGTTATCAAGTTGGAATGAATCTAATATCTATGATGTTCAGTGTTATTGTTCACGTCAGTATTTGTGTGATATGGGTCAGACTACTGGATTATTGCTGAAACGAGACAGTTTAGGACTGCTTTTGACGATTTTCTTTGAATTTGCACTGGGACATCCAAACTGTAGGAGAAAATATTCTTTATAGCTAAAACACATGGAATTATCATGAAACGGCCCTCCTATTTATCAGAAATTTGCGGGCCGCTGCAAATGATATTTGACCGCTCAACCTTAACGACGGGCCACTATCAGTTCTCTTGTCAAGTGACGTCATAGTGGGTGCGTCGGTTCATTGGACATTGGCTTTGGACTGGCAGATATTCTGGGTCAAACAAGTCAAAGCAACCCCAATTCCCGCTTTAAATAGCGGTAATATTGGCTTTCTTGCTGGTGCTTACCTTAACAATTGCACTATTAACGTTGTTGATGGACCAAAACCGAAAACTGACATAGTTTGACATGTTGCAGACTATGGTCTTGTTAAAGGCCAAGGTCGGAATATCGTCACTTTCTGTTGTGACGTCACTTGAATTGTTCGATGACGTAATTGCATTCGGGCAGTCAACCCCGTCAGAAGTTGGTTTTGAGTAAACTTACAGTCAAATTCCTTCATTGTTTCCTTTTTCTTTTCAACACAAATTCCATGTATTTTAGCAATAATAACGGTAATGCTATTTTTGAGGGCATTATCATTTGCAGAAGCCCTCGGTCTTTTTCAACTGCCCTCCTTCGGGCAGTTAATGGAAGACCGCGGGCTTCTGCAAATGATAATGCCCTCAAAAATAGCATTACCGTTATAATAGTACATGATCCTCATCCCCCTTGCAATTACTCTTCTTGAGGCAAGATGTAATTGACTCTTTAGTTCCCCAAATTTTGTAGGTTTAAAATGCTTTGTCTCTTTAGCCAGGTGCCAACCATATATAACAGTTTGTCTGGGTTGCTGCTTTCCACTGTTCACAATTAAAGAAAGTCTGTGGTCTGATATTTGAATGTAGGGACCAATTAAAGCTGTTGCTTGTAATTTTAGGGTGATGACATAGACACCCTGACTTTCTTGTCTATTTCAGATATAGCTATCGCTTCCAAAATTTTCTGTTGATCATCCAACCAATATGTTTTGTGAAAAGTATTCAAAGGTATAGTATGTTGTTCTGTTCACATTCTCCAGCTGTCCTTAGCATCCAATCACCTGGTTAGGATGGTGGGGGTGTCGTCCTTCATCCAGCTCACTGTACTGCGGCTCTCCAACAACAGCATTGTCAACATTGAAGGTAAACGCTATCAAAATCTCAACAGCTGTTACAACTGATGATTATTATCTACAGCATTGTGAATGATGTCCACAGCATTCAAAGATGAATAAACAAGATTATTTTCTGCAACACTTATTTTGGGAAAGGCATAGGCATCTTTTAGCTTGCCTCATGACACTTTTGTGCTATCTTAAAATGGCATATTCCTATGATAGCTTGAAGTTCTAAAAGGTATTTGAAGAACATCATTTATTCTATAAAGAGGAGCGGTTGAGTAGCCTAGTGGTTAAAGCGTTCGCTCGTGACGCCGAAGACCCGGGTTCAATTCCCCACATGGGTACAATGTGTGAAGCCCATTTCTGGTGTCCCCCGCAATGATATTGCTTGAATATTGCTAAAGAGCGGCGTAAAACCATACTCACTCACTCACTATTCTATAAAGGGTGATATGCACATGGTTGATGATTAATGTTTCATATGTTTTAGGACTCACAGACCTAGTATACCTGTCTTGGCTGGATCTCAGTGGCAACAGTATAAAGGTACAACAATACAGTGAGACCTTGTTAAACCAGACAGTGACTTTATCTCAGAAATCATAAAGGTTTATAAAGTTTAGATAAAAGAATCAATATTTCAAAGTAACATCTGTTAAATTCTATACAAGTAAACATTTCTAGATATAAATGTCTGATGGGAATATGTCCAGATTGATGAGGTTCAGTCTGTCAGGGTTTTGCTTTACATGTTCCACAAGAGAAAATGGGTATTTTTGTTAGCCTCTACTTTGTAGCCTGAGTCTTGTCAATTTCTTTTCAGCCCAGTAAGATTTTCCAATAAAAGTTCATGCATCAACACTAGCATCAACTGAAAATCATGTCAAGAGACAAGTTTGTCCATGTTTGCACATGTTGGATTTTAAAAATCTTTTTGCAAACTTTTGAAAAACTTGGAAGTGTCAACCAAATTGTGAGTCTTCATGTTCAACATGTTTCCAGCTGCTAACATGCTTGAAGTTTAGTCACAATTTCAAGGAGAATGAATTTGCATCCATTGTTACCTTAGACTTTGGGTAGTGTTTTGATATTAAATAAATGATTTGTTTAAATTTCAGGTTATTGAGAATTTGAAGAATAACGTCAAGCTGCGCCATCTGGACTTGTCTGACAACAATGTTGCTGTCATCGGGCCCTTATCTTCCCTGTCTATTCTCAAGGTAACTACCTGTGTACTTCATGTGTGCTGTAATTGTTAATCAATGCGATGCTAAGAGCACATGAGATGGACAGTCAAACACTATTGTCTCGAAATTTGATGTGTCAAATTTATGGTTGCCTTGAAGTACAAGCTTGGTCCTTGGAAATCCTGTATTAAGTCATCATTTTGTCGTTGTGTGTAACCCCTGGATATTGATGTTAGTCCCTAGAACTTTGACACTATGGCTAATAGGGGTGAAACGGTATACCGAGGTATTAGTAGAACCGCGGTATTTTGCCTTCAGTTCGGTATACCGTAATGCAATCCCAAAAATCGGTGTTTTTGTACCGTCATTTTAATTACTTTTTAAACCTTTTCTAAAATGTCTAGAAATCGAACCATTTTGTCAAAATCTATACGTTTCTTTTCTGCATTATTATCATATCTCATATACCGAACCGAAACGGACCGAACCGAAGGTCTTGTACCGCAATACGTACCGTACCGTGGTATGAGCATACTGTTTCACCCCTAATGGCTAATCCCCTTGACATGCTTAATTTCAAACTCTGACTATCCATGTGTTTGTAATGTTAAATTTTCCTTACCCTGCTTATTGCTTATCTCCATTCGCCTTTCAAGTGGAAACTTGAATCCCTTTCAATTCCTTGAAGCGATCGTAATATCACTCACCCACAAGTAGCCTCCCTTTCCTGCCAAAACGGTCCCACGTAACCTGAGCCCAGCTCTCATCACTCTCTCCTTCATATCCCAATTTATGGCATCATCGTAAACGTTGCCACAAAGAAATATCGTTAAGGCAATGACTGATTGTAATTGTGCCATTAGGATTTTAACTGTGCCAAACACAAGGGATGTGATTGCTATTGTCAGACTTGTGTTATGACTAGTATTACATCAAACCTTCACTTATGTAAGAATGATTCATTTGGCTAAATGTAGTAACTGAACTGAGGGGATTCAATACATTCAATTAAGAATTGCACATGTCTTCTTTTATAGACATTTTATTCTACTATATTTCTTATGACATCTTTTTATTTTTCTATTTGTAGACTCTTTTGCTTCATGGTAATATCCTTTCAAGTCTGAAGCCGGTTCCTACTTGTGTTCCACCATCAGTCAGAGTTCTCTCCCTTGAGAGCAATGAACTGTGTGACCTCAATGAGGTAAGAATTCTTCAGATATGAATAAGGATAGACAGAGTCAGCTGCCATACAACAGCACTAGTCTGTATTTTAGGACTTGCTGCTCTATCCAGTAACGTGTACATAAATAATAAATAAGAACAATATTTGAATGATTGTCAGTAGTCTGATTGTGTATTTGGGATTCTACTGTGACCTTTTAGAATCCTTCTCTCAGCAGTCAAATCTGATTTTGCTGATGTCCACAGCATGAAAGTAGTATTTTTATTACCTACGAGGGCGAAAATGTCGAGGTTCATATTTTTCACACTGTGCCTTAGGGCAAAATATCACTTTGTCACGGTGACGTGACGTCCTGAACAGTGCTATGATATCACTTTTCTTCTATGACGTTGTGTTCTACATGCGGAGACGGCAGGTAGCCAGCCTATGTTTGAAAGTAGATCTTGGTTTATTTTCCTCAATTTGACGACTTTGGTAATAAATAAAATATTATATTTGTGCTCATATCATACAATGTTTACGACACTCTGTCTAAATATTGGTATATCTCTCGCTCGTGAATTACCAACATTTAGGCACCTGTGTCGTAAACATAGAATAACATGGGTACTGATATAATATCCTCTATTAAAGTACCTCTGTCAAAAAACCTTTCATGTTTAAATTGTTATCATAAACATACTGAAATCAGATATTGCAGTCCTTGAGTTATTTAAAGTAAGTGTTGGAATGTACTTTAGACAGAGTATGATCTGATGAACAACTATTTTGAAGTTTGAAATACCTCATTAACAACACAGATGCACATCACATACTATGTTGCCATGTCTACAATATCACAATATTTGCACAACACATGTGTGGAAACTTAAATTTACTTTTATTGCTGCATGATCTTCTTTTTGAATAGGGGTAGCCTAATGGTTAAAGTGTCCGCTCATCACGCTTAAGACCCGGGTTTGATTCACCACATGGGTACAAAGTGTGAAGCCCATTTCGGGTGTCTCTTTAGCAATGTTGCTGGAATATTGCTAAAAGCAACGTAAAACTTGACTCACTCACTTACTCAGTCTTTTTAAAAATAACAGGTAACATGTAATCTTATGGTCTCATCTTGAAGTAATTTCACTATTGACGTAAATTATTCACTTGAGTTTGAGAAAGCAAAACAAAGGTGCATTAGGGGTTAACATAATTGATTCCTTAATTTGACCATTCTAAATACTGAAATATTAGTTTCACACTATGCTGCATCATTATTTCCATCAAGCCGTTAATGAGTTTACATTAACAGGGATGAGATTGTAGTTTGCCTGATATTTAGGCATTTTAGACCTTTAAAACTGGCTCAGAAATGACAATATCATGAACACAGCAACCATTAAAAAACTTTAAATCTGCTGAAGCACATTCATACAATTGTCAACGGATTTAGACTATTCACAATAATGACCCTTGGCCTTATGAAATTCCCGGAATTCCGCGTATCCGCGGAAAATTCTCATCCCTGCATTTATTTTGTTATTGTCTCATGCAATATATACCAACTGGGTTTTCAACAAAAGTTTAAACGTTTGGTTTTGAATAAAATTTACAGGTCTTTATCAATGTTTGATATGTCTTAATTGAAAACACACATTCCTAATTGTTGCTCAGTTATCAACCATTAGTTGCCAGCCCAAGATCAACAACTCAACAGTATATGATTTTAAGATTTATTGAAAACTCCAAAATGTCAAGAACATTCACACATGTAGACTCAATACATTTTTAATTGTGTTTACGTATGTTTACATCACCACTGATGAATGTACCAATGTTTACGTATGTTTACATCACCACTGATGAATGTACCAGTGTTTACGTATGTTTACATCACCACTGATGAATGTACCAATGTTTACGTATGTTTACATCACCACTGATGAATGTACCAGTGTTGACGTATGTTTACTTCACCACTGATGAATGTACCAATGTTTACGTATGTTTACATCACCACTGATGAATGTACCAGTGTTGATGTATGTTTACATCACCACTGATGAATGTACCACTGTTGACGTATGTTTACTTCACCACTGATGAATGAACCAGTGTTGACGTATGTTTACTTCACCACTGATGAATGTACCAGTGTTGACGTATGTTTACATCACCACTGATGAATGTACCACTGTTGACGTATGTTTACATCACCACTGATGAATGTACCAGTGTTGACGTATGTTTACTTCACCACTGATGAATGTACCAGTGTTGACGTATGTTTACATCACCACTAATGAATGTACCAATGTTTACTCCACCTAAGATAACTAACAATGTTTATTCCCCAGGTGTGCTACCTGGCCAGCCTCCCCGACCTGGATCAGCTGTCTCTGGCCAACAACCCCTGTGTCCTCATGACTGCGCTGACACAATATCCTTCTATACAAGCTACATATGATCTACAGTACCATATTTAATTACTTGGCCTCACGGGGTGGTGGGATAGCCTAGTGGTGTGGTTAAGCGTGTGCTCGTCATGTTGCAGACCCGGGTTTGATTCCCCACATGGGTACAATGTGTGAAATCCATTTCTGGTGTTCCCTGTCGTGATATTGCTTGAATATTGCTACATGTGACATAAATCCGCTCACTCACTCACTCACTCACTCACTCACTCACTCACTCACTCACTCTCACTCACTCACTCACTCACTCACTCACTCACTCACTCACTCACTCACTCACTCACTCACTCACTCACTCACTCACTCACTCACTCACTCACTCACTCACTCACTCACTCACTCTTTGGTTGAAATAGGTCCTCCGAAAGCTATGTTTATTGTACAAGGGGAATTAACTACACAAATGAATCAGGTGTGTAGTAATAGTGGCTTGGCTGATTGCAAGTCATCGTCACTGACAGTGGAACCAGTGGCAGTCAACATCAGCCTCCCATATGGACACATAAATACACAGTTGTGATAAGAATGTATCCTGACAACATCATTGTATCTTCCTGAGAAGTTTTGAAGATTTATAGAGGTAGTGAACAAGTTGTTTTTGCTTGTGAAAATGTCATCCTAAATATGATAAGCCAAACGTTTTCAATGTTTGAAGATGCTTTTGCACCACAGGGGTCACTTTCTTGGGCAGTGTTTGCTCATAGGCCTTATGAACTAAAAAAGCACTGTAGAAAAAGAGACAGGGTACATTACATGCTAATATATACGTATATATGATAATTTGATATTTATGGGTTTGTTAGGTGGTCACAATATTTTGAAAATAAAGTTGTAACCGTTGTCGGCATGCATTGAAGAATTTCCTTGACAGAGACTACAGGATTTGATTATCGGCCATATGTGGTCAACTGGTGTCCGACGCTGCGCTTTGCTGGACGGCTTCGTCGTGTCTGAGAGGGAGAAGTAGGTGTTGTTACTGTGGTTGTCATCCTCTTTTTCAAACCTTTTGGGGCAAGGGTCCCCGATGGCCTTAATAATGCAGGTGGCTCCGCAGAATTCTGCCCCTTGATTGTGCCAGAATCTGCTGGACTATGCCTGTAGTCATGGCTTCCATGAATGTGATAAATACCCATGATTTCACTCTGGGCTTTCAACACACAATTTATAAGATTATATGCTGTGATGGCTGCATGAACAACATCACATGTCATGCATATTATCAAAGTCCTTTAAAAATATCATGTAATTAGTTACAAGGTTTAAGACTTCTGATATTGGTTAATGGTAAAGTTATAGAATAGGCTCCCCTTCTTCACAGCTTCAGAAACAGGTAATAGTACGAAATTGATGTTCAGAATAGATTTTTATGCAGTACAAATTACACAGAAGTATGGTCCATACATCTTTAGCTTTTGAAGCTGTAATGTATACAAGAAGGATTGTTTTAGATGAAGATGGTAAATACTAAGGCTGTAACGATTCACTCGCATATTCGGTGAATCGAACCGTAGCCCTTCATGAATTCAATTCGTTATTCGTCGTCACCAGAACCGAATATAAACAAATATTTACGATTTTTTTAAGGGAGCATGTTTTACTTGAACCCTTTTGTCCTTTCCAAAGTGAGATATGCAAGAATGGAACATGTACTAGTATTGCAGTAGTGCAAGTCATGTTTGCCAAGACTGCACATGGTACTGTCGATTATAACTATTACATACCAAATTTGAGTGTCATGAGATCACTGGTTATTGCTGTGACAAATTAACACTGTCAACATATCCATTCCATACTGTACATCAATCACTTAACTACAATATTGTATTCATGAATAATTATTCCTATTCGTTATCCAATATTCATGATACGCATCATATTTGCCACATAGTGTATTCATTGCAGCCCTAGAAATACCTGCTAAATTTGCATAGATCTTTTTGAACACAATGATGTTGAATACTTTGTCTTCCTTTATAGAGACCTTGTACATATTGTATTATCAGAATGCAGGGTGTTTATAGTAACGCATACAAATTGTATTGCCAGACTGCAGGGGGAGTGGTTGTACTGCCAGGGTAAGGGTCGTCACTTCCACCTTGGGGAACATCTACAGCTTGTGACGTATCTGCCACCGCCTGTCCCCTCACCACCTCAGACAAGGTAGGCAGTACTTGAAACCCAGGGATTTACTGAAACAATATGTCCTTAATTGTAGAATATCAATGCTAGTTGTAAATGAAGACTTAATTGAGTCAGTGAGTGAGTGAGTTTAGTTTTACGCCGCACTCAGCAATATTCCAGCTATATGGCGGCGGTCTGTAAATAATTGAGTCTGGACCAGACAATGCAGTGATCAACAGCATGAGCATCGATCTGCGCAATTGTGAATCGATGATATGTGTCAACCAACCCATCGAGCCTGACCACCCGATCCCGTTAGTCGCCTCTTACGACAAGCATGGGTTACTGAAGGTTCATTCTAACCTTCACGGGTGACTTAATTGAGGATTCGATGGGTACAGTGTGTGATTTGGCTGATAGTGGATTGCCTCGATTGTTGTTCATTCTGTCAACCACTCTCAGTCCAACTAAGAGACAAACCTATGTTTGTAGTGTCAGTGTTGATATATCAGATTTCTATATTTGGAACCAAGGACTTTGGTTCTTCAATGTCCAGATAGAATTAGGAGGAATCAAATCAACAGGCTGTTCAGATTTTATCCATTCTACTTTGACTGAAGTATTCTTTTGAAACATTGATTTTCACAATATATAGGTATCTTCAAACAATCTGAAAAGAGTCACAGGCAGTGATACATGTTAAGATTATAGCTTGACTTAAACATTTCACTCACTTTCATACCCCTGAGATATTTTACAAGTGCTTCACCAAGAGTTACCTCCCATGCATAGAACACATCTTTATCAGCAATTGTTTGTTCCATTGTAAATTTCAAGCATAATATGTGAGCATTATGTAGTATTTGGATGTTAAAGGAGTGAGTGACACATCACATTAACACAGGACATCTTGTCTTGAAACTTGGTACAGCCTGAAAATATGGATCAATACATTGAGTATCCATCATGTATAGTACCAACATGCATTGATACATCATGTATAGTACCAACATGCATTGATACATCATGTATAGTACCAACATGCATTGATACATCATGTATAGTACCAACAGGCATTGATACATCATGTATAGTACCAACATGCATTGATACATCATGTATAGTACCAACATGCATTGATACGTTATGGATCAAACATGCCTTCATGTATAGTACCAACATGCATTGATACGTCAATGAATCGTGACATCTCTAACCCTGCTATTGGTACAGAATAGTTTGAATACTCAGGAAACTTCACCTGAAGAGATTGACTCGGTGGTCTTATGGACAGAGCATCTTCCAGGAAGCACAGTCCTCATGTAGAAACAACAAACCCATGAAGATCTGGGTTAGAATTGATCTTCAGTAACCCATGCTTGTCGTAAGAGGCGAATAACAGGATCGGGTGGTCAGGCTTGCTGACTTGATTGACACATGTCATCGTATCCACATTGCGTAGATCAATGCTCATATTGTTGATCACTGGATTGTCTGATCATGTATAGACTGGGGCCATAAAGCTGAAGTATTATAAATTAAACAAACAAGGGAATAGACAAACAAACAAACAAACAGACTTTGTTTTTAAGACAAAAACGACTGTTACATAACTTACAATACCCAAATTTTTGAAGAATGGTATATGCTGCTACATAAATTGTTCCGTGAACTTATGAGTATGAAATGCAGGTTTAACCAGATGAAATCAATGCTGTTTTGCCAAAGAGCTGTTTCAGCACCAGGTCACAATGTGCATGATGAATGACCTTGTTTATGATGTATAGAGTGTCTTATGCTGTTAACCACATGTTGTAAAGTCCATGTTTGAATAACTTACACACTACTGTGAATATTGCTTGAAAGTGCCAGATGTGGCATAAAACAGCATTTGCTCACTCATTGCAATTCTGATTAAAATCCTGCAACTTGCAATAATTATATATCTTCTTTCAGTAATTAGTACCATGATTGCAACTCAAAAAGAAACTTTTCTCATGTAAAGATAATGCTTTTCTCTCCAGATATAAACTTATCCACGATTAAGCATGTCTAGGTACAATCATGTTTTTTCATTCTATACAGGGGCGTTTGGGTAGCCTAATGGTTAAAGTGTTGGCTCGTCACGCCAAAGACCTGGGTTTGATTCCCCACATGGGTACAATGTGTGAAGCCCATTTCTGGTGTCCCCCGCCATGATATTGCTGGAATATTGCTGAAATAAAATGACATAAAAAAAGTGTGAGCTGGTGACTGTCAAAAATCAGGGTTTGAAGAAATATAGACATCATGATCAGGACAAATCATGCTGACCCTCATGTACCATTACGCCTGATGTTTGACTTGTATTGCACCAACAAATTAGTTCCTTAGTCCCTGTAATCCCGTAGTGTCTTTGTTGACATGATCCCCATTGCTGTATCACTAGGGACAGGTCGACAGGGTATCTCGGTAGTGATGGCCAGCCTCTCCCTGATCTGGGGCAATGCTGCTTCATGGTGGAGTCCCGGAACCACATTATATTCCTTACTGCCTAGCCCGAGATGATAAAGCCCTAAATGAAGCAAGTCTAGATTTCCTCATGTCTGAATTTCCCATCTCACTGGGGCTCCTTTTCAGTTTTAATGGGTTTATGCGTCGCTATCAAAATTATATATATTCAGAGACTAAGCGTTAGTCTATGGCAACGTGTGTGGCTGTACTTATGCTGTAATATCCTTCAGTAATGGGAGATATGGCCTCCTGCCATCTGGGTGAGGGGCTGTCTGTGTGTCTGGGGTTTGACCGTGTAGGGTATACAAATTTACACATAGTGTAGTTTATGGCTGTGTTTGTACTGTAATACCCTTGTGATGTATGGATTGGGAAGTGTGTTCTGTCTTTGGTGTGTCTAGAGTTGTCTGTATTGTCTAGGGTTGTCTGTTGTGTCTGAAGTTGTTGTGTCTGGAGTTCTCTGTTGTGTCAATGGTTGTCGGTTGTGTCTGAGGTCTGTTGTGTCTGAGGTTGTGTCTGGAGTTCTCTGTTGTGTCTGAGGTTCTCTGTTGTGTCAATGGTTGTCGGTTGTGACTATGGTTGTCGGTTGTGTCTGAGGTTGTGTCTAGGGTTGTCTTGTGTCTGAGGTTGTGTCTAGGGTTGTCTGGAGTTCTCTGTTGTGTCTGAGGTTGTGTCTATGGTTGTCTGTTGTATCTGAGGTTATGTCAAGGGTTGTCTGTTGTATCTGAGGTTGGGCCTGGGGTTGTCTGTTGTGTCTGAGGTTGTCTGTTGTGTCTGAGGTTGTGTCTAGGGTTGTATCTTGTATCTGAGATTGGGCCTGGGGTTGTCTGCTGTGCCTGAGGTTGTCTGCTGTGTCTAGGGTTTTCTGTTGTATCTGAGGTTGTCTGTTGTGTCAGTGGTTGATGTGTCTACGCTTGTCTGTTGTGTCTGATGTTGTGTCTGGAGTTCTCTGTTGTGTTTGAGGTTGTTGTGTCTGGAGTTGTCTTTTGTGTCTGAGGTTCTCTGTTGTGTCAGTGGTTGTTGTGTCTGAGGTTGTGTGTGGAGTTCTCTGTTAGGTCTTAGGTTGTGTCTGGAGTTGTCTTGGTTCTGAGGTTGTTGTGTCTGGAGTTGTCGTGTCTGAGGTTGTTGTGTCTGGAGTTGTCTGTTGTGTCTGAGGTTCTCTGTTGTGTCAATGGTTGTTGTGTCTGAGGTTGTGTCTAGGGTTTTCTGTTGTGTCTGGGGTTGTCTGTTGTGTCTGAGGTTGTGTGTGGAGTTCTCTGTTTTGTCTGGAGTTCTTCGTTTTGTCTGGAGATCTCTGTTCTGTCTGAGGTTGTGTCTGAAGATCTCTGTTGTGTCTGAAGTTGTATCTTGAGCTCTCTGTTGTGCCTGAGGTTTTATCGGGAGATCTCTGTTATGTCTGAGGTTGTTGTGTCTGGAGCTCTATCTTGTGTCTGAGGTTTTCTGTTGTGACTATGGTTGTCTGTTGTGTCTGAGGTTGTGACTATGGTTGTCTGTTGTGTCTGTGGTTGTCTGTTGTGTCTGAGGTTGTGTGTGGAGTTCTCTGTTTTGTCTGGAGTTGTGTCTGGAGATCTCTGTTGTGTCTGAAGTTGTATCTTGAGCTCTCTGTTGTGTGAGGTTTTATCTGGAGATCTCTGTTATGTCTGAGGTTGTTGTGTCTGGAGCTCTATCTTGTGTCTGAGGTTTTCTGTTGTGACTATGGTTGTCTGTTGTGTCTGTGGTTGTGTCTGGAGTTGTCTTTTGTGTCTGAGGTTCTCTGTTGTGTCAATGGTTGTTGTATCTGAGGTTGTGTCAAGGGTTGTCTGTTGTGTCTAGGGTTGTCTGTTGTGTCTGAGGTTGTGTCTAGGGTTGTCTGTTGTGTCTAGGGTTGTGTCTAGGGTTATCTACCGTGTCTAGGGTTGTCTGTTGTCTTTAGGGTTGTCTGTTGTGTTTAGGGTTGTCTGTTTCTGAGGTTGTGTGTGGAGTTCTCTGTTGTGTCTGAAGTTGTATCTGTAGCTCTCTGTTGTGTCTGAGGTTGTGTCTGGAGCTCTCTGTTGTGTCTGAGGTTTTATCTGGAGATCTCTGTTATGTCTGAGGTTGTTGTGTCTGGAGCTCTATCTTGTGTCTGAGGTTTTCTGTTGTGACTATGGTTGTCTGTTGTGTCTGAGGTTGTGACTATGGTTGTCTGTTGTGTCTGTGTGGGTGTCTGTTGTGTCTGAGGTTGTGTGTGGAGTTCTCTGTTTTGTCTGGAGTTGTGTCTGGAGATCTCTGTTGTGTCTGAAGTTGTATCTTGAGCTCTCTGTTGTGTGAGGTTTTATCTGGAGATCTCTGTTATGTCTGAGGTTGTTGTGTCTGGAGATCTATCTTGTGTCTGAGGTTTTCTGTTGTGACTATGGTTGTCTGTTGTGTCTGTGGTTGTGTCTGGAGTTGTCTGTTGTTCTGTGTCTGAGGTTCTCTGTTGTGTCAATGGTTGTTGTATCTGAGGTTGTGTCTAGGGTTGTCTGTTGTGTCTAGGGTTGTCTGTTGTGTCTAGGGTTGTGTCTAGGGTTATCTACCGTGTCTAGGGTTGTCTGTTGTGTTTAGGGTTGTCTGTTGTGTTTAGGGTTGTCTGTTTCTGAGGTTGTGTGTGGAGTTCTCTGTTGTGTCTGAAGTTGTATCTGTAGCTCTCTGTTGTGTCTGAGGTTGTGTCTGGAGATCTCTGTTATGTCTTAGGTTGTGTCTGGAGTTCTCTTTGGGTGTCTGAGGTTGTTGTGTCTGGAGTTTTTTCTTGTGTCTGAGGTTTTGTCTGGAGTTGTCTGTTGTGTCTGAGGTTGTGTCTGGAGATCTCTGTTATGTCTTAGGTTGTGTCTGGAGTTCTCTGTTGTGTCTGAGGTTGTTGTGTCTGGAGTTCTTTCTTGTGTCTGGGGTTTTGTCTGGAGTTCTATCTTGTGTCTGAGGTTGTGTCTGGAGTTCTTTGTTATGTCTTAGGTTGTGTCTAGGGTTGTCTGTTGTGTCTGAGGTTGTTGTGTCTGGAGTTCTTTCTTTTGTCTGAGGTTTTGTCTGGAGTTCTCTGTTGTGTCTGAGGTTGTTGTGTCTGGAGTTCTTTCTTTTGTCTGAGGTTGTGTCTGGAGTTCTCTCTTGTGTCTGAGGTTGTGTCTGGAGTTCTTTGTTATGTCTGAGGTTGTGTCTAGGGTTGTCTGTTGTGTCTGAGGTTGTTGTGTCTGGAGTTCTTTCTTTTGTCTGAGGTTTTGTCTGGAGTTCTCTGTTGTGTCTGAGGTTGTTGTGTCTGGAGTTCTTTCTTTTGTCTGAGGTTGTGTCTGGAGTTCTCTCTTGTGTCCGGGGTTGTGTGTTGTGTTGTCTTAAGTTACAGTCTTTCCTTTCAGCAGTCCTTATCGAACTGCGTTAATTTGTCCCTCAAACCTCAGACCTAAACATTTGTCTGAGACATCCCAAACCCTATAATCATGATTTCCTGTCCACACGATTGTGATGAAATTGAGTGAAAAGCTTAGCATGCTGACTCAATATTAAAGCATACTTTGTGTGCAGGAGTGCTGTTTCACTTTATCACTCTGTTTTCTATTTATTGAACTGATTCAAGAATATAGATAACTGATCCTTAGAAAACATAACCTTTGTTGCATCATAACCATAAACCCTGCTTGTGGCTGTCCACACAGCTATATAATAAATGGTTTTGAGGGAGATAGTATTCCCCAGACAAGAGAATATGTGACAAGAGAAGGGTGATGGGTGGGGGGGGGGTGGTGAAGGAGGAAACCACAACTTCTGTGTGTGCTAAAGTAAAGAAAACAGTACTCTGAATTATTTCTTGTGGTGCTAGATTATTGATTCTATTGGGCTTATCTTGTCCACAAAGTCGTACATAAATTCAGTGTTACTTTTGTAATGTTCTTAATTTTATTGTGTTTGAGGGGATTTAGCTGGGCCTACTAAGAGGCCAATATTCTGCCCTAAATCTGAAGCAAGTGTCATAATAAAATCACCAAATCGTAATAAGAATTTGACGAGTCTTGACATTATGGTAATAACAAATGTTATTGTTTTCACTGGTAAATTGTATTTTACTGATACCAGTACAGATATACAAACAGGGTGTTAATACTTCATTTTACACATTTTCATTGAATAAAATATAAAATAACCACAAATTAAGAAAATATGGACTTTTTGTTATAAAATGCCAATCCTGAACAATTTTGAGTGCCAAATGCACTTTCAAGTCTTAGATAAATATATTTATAAGTGTTACTGTCTTACAAACATGATTAAGTACGCATTCACAAGAACATCAATTGAACCAGGGAGATAGCTGATGTTTTTGTTCAAAGCAAATACACAGTGTTTACGCCAGTTCTCCTTTATGTATAGCCAAATGTTTATATCAGTATTTATCATGTTTATGTAAGCAGGAGTGTCAGTATTATATATAATGCTGACCAGAGACTGTTTACTGTTTACTGTTTACCACTGCTATGAGAAACCTTGAAAGCTAAACATTATGCTACGTCTATTCAGCGATCTCATCATTCAGCAACTTTATGACTATTCGGATTAACGCTATTTGAAATCATGTT